GGGGGGGGGGGGCGTTGCGCAGGCGTCGCACGTACGGGCCCGGTAGTAAAGGAGTCAGGCCGGAAGCGCCGATCTTCTCACCGAGGATGCGCAAGATGGAGCAAACTAGACGAGTGAGCAGGAAGCGCAGGTTGCGCGTCCGGATCTGAGAATAAGCTGGCAGGAATCGAGCGGCCATGATGGAACGCGCGTAGCCGATCCAAGTGTGTCGATACGCGGCGCACTTGAATGTAGCCAGATCAGCCCCCGCGAGAAATTAGAGTCTCGGCAAGCACGAATTCCTGAGACTGAGACGCAAAGCCATTCTGCGCAAAGTCAAACTCTTCGCAAAGTCAAACTCTTCTCGCAAAGTCAAGCTGTGAGCAAAGTCAAACGCTTCGCAAAGTCGCATGCCGCAATGTCATTCAGTACAAAGTCATTCAGCAGGCATGCCGACGGGACAAAGGGACCATCCGGCTTCGCACGCATCAAAGCCGCTCTCCCATGAACTTTGGAGCGTCACTGCGTCGCCTAACCCGCCACAGCGCTCAGCGCCAAAGGAACGGCGAAAGCCGAAGAGGCAGGCGCTACAACGCTGGTCGAGATCACTTCCGGTCCTATCGGCACCACGCGCTCACCCTGCTGCATTTCGACAGCAGATGCCACGCCAACAGCTTGCGTTGCGCCGAGGCGTAGCCTCGATGTGCAGACATCCTTGGGCCCTTTGTTCGCCTCGTCACATCCTGGCCTGGAAAGCGAAAAATGCTTGCGCCGCCAAGTCCAATTGGTCACGAACGGCTTCACGCCAGACAGAGTGTGATTGCGCAAGGTCTTGGCGAATTCAAGGTTGGCTCAATCTTACCCACAGTGATGGGGAAACCTCCGAGTTAGACTCTAAAGAGGTTGACTCGGATGTTCCGCGGGACATAAGCTGAGCGTGTGAGCCGACGGATTGCAAGGGAAGGAAGACGAGGGATGGCACCAAGCGGATCGAAGGCCAGCTCACTCCTCTGCGTTGACTCCAGGCTCACCGCGATTTCCGTTATGTTCTCCTCACTGCCTCGGCCTTCAGCCGAAAGTCACATGCTTGTACAAATCTCACTGCTCTCCGTGAAGAATCGTATCGTCTTGTCATTGATCTGCGGATGTGTCATCGTCGTCAATTTAGTCGCCAGCCGTTGCACTATGTTGCACAGGGCCCACGTCCAAGGATTCGGAGGCGTGCTCGCCAACAATTGCACTGTGCTGCTGCATTCCCACGCGTACCCGCAGCCTCGGCTGGACCACAGCGCGTGTCAAAGGCGAATGGCGAGTGTCTTTTTCTTTTTCAGAATTCAAAATTCCTCGGACAATTTCGCGTGCACACTCGCGCGAGAGCCTCAATTCTGCTAACACCACCAGAAGGTGGAGTGATATTGTCGGACGACTTTTGGGATCATGGTGAAAGTACATGCTACACTGCAAATAGCAGTCGTGAAGTGGTCAAAACCGTTCTAAGAGCGGGGCTTTTCCTTCTTAGACTTGAAAAGGGCCAGAAGGCCGACTCCCGAGACCTTAACGACCTTGAAACGAACACCGGGGATATCACCCTTGGCCTTACCGGCGCGACCGAAGCCGGAGATGAGGACCTCGTCGTTCTCGTCGACGAAGTTGAGGCAGCCGTCGTTGGGGACGAAGGCGGCGACCTTCTTGCCGTTCTTGATGAGCTGGACACGGACGCACTTTCGGATAGCCGAGTTGGGCTGCTTGGCCTCGACGCCGATCTTCTCGAGGACGATGCCCTTGGCCTGGGACGAGCCACCGGTGGGGGAGGTCTTGTAGAAGTTGCCGAGGGCGCGCTTCTTGTAGGCAGCGTCGGCCCAGCGGTTGTCTCGGCGGGGCGAGACCTGCTTACGGGCTGTGTTAAGTCCACGGGGCTTAGCCATCTTGAAGAAACTGCAAGGTGGTGAAGCGAGAGAGACGGAGAAGTGCCGATGGTTAGAACAAAGGATTCGCGAATGGACTGGATCGGTGAATCGACATGACGGTCTGTTGCGAGTTCGGTTCTGCCTGTGGTCGATCTGCCGCGCGCTTCGAATTCCTGTTACAGGTTTGATTCTGGTTCTGACTGCGAAGAGAGCTCTGCATCTGATGGTCCTCTTATGGTCGCTGTATCGTGGCGAGACTGCCTGACTGCACTGCAATGTCGACGATCGTCTTGTACGGTACCGAACGTTTCAGTCTAAAAGCGAGAGGCCGAGGTGATATCGGCTTAGAAGTATGCGACTCGCTGAATGAGAGCCTGATGCGAGGCCGGTCCAGAATGTCGTGCAGCTTCTGGTAGGAGTGGACGTCTTCGGGGTGTGTCTGGTAAGGGCAGGAAGCGGTTGGGATAACGCAACGATGGTCGGTATAGGCTGATGGACATGCTGCAAGCCCTCTTTGTCGAATGTATCCAACAGGTGGTGGCGCGCGGCGAGAAGGATCATGGCGGAGACTGCGAGGTAGCGATCCTGACTGTGCTGAATACAGCCCCGTGTCTCTGCAACGTACGTGTGTTGAAATGTCGATGCTGAAAGAGATACCTACTTTGCTGAGGAGGGCGGTGGTCTTGATGGTGAGGAGAGGAGCAAGGTGGCGTGCGCCCTGTGGTATCCTCGCCGCCGCTGCCAACGGTTTGCGATGTGTCGACTCACTGGCGCTGAATTTCGACAGTCCCACAGAGGCCTAGCTCGCGGCACGCTCTGCGCTCTGCTGCTGGACCTAAATCCATTCGCACTTGCGCAGCCTGCAACCGAATTCGCTGAATCTGGCGCGCATCCTCTTTGGCGGCTCATAGAAGCACGATCGCAAGGGGCCAGCGTGACGCGAACACTCGGATCCGAAGATGGAGAAATTTCTTAAGGGCGTTTCGTTCCTGCAAAAAAAGCGAGATTCGTGCAGAGGCAAGGTCGAGTCGTGGGAAGTTTTGAAAATCAGTCACGTGAAGCGAAGTTCGCCCCGGCTCAGACGAGCAGCTTCTGCCTCTCTACAGCCCGAAAATGAGCGCAGACTGGGCCAGCTTCCCAAGCCGCTGCCTGGCTAGCCAGTATTTGCATCTGCCGAGGCCTGGCTCTCGAAGAACTCACATCTCGAATTTCGGCGGCTGCAGCCAGCGACCTTAGGCCACTCGAGCTGGCAAAGCGCTCTTCAAGCCCATTGAGCTCGAGGCCCACAGAGCGGGCCGTTGCACACTCAACTGAATCTGGGGGAAGCAAGCCAGAGAGTGAAGCGCTCGACATCTGCACCCTCGTCACCATCATCCTCCATCAAGATCCCCCATCCGTCACAATGCCCAAGATCTACAAGGTACGTGCTCGATACAACTCTACGCTCTATCGACAGAGTGATGGTCAGCATGCAGCTTGAATCGCCATTCACCATAGACACGGCAAGGTCCGTCGAAAGGGCGCGCAATGTCGAAGATGGAGAAGCAGTGATGCTGCATGCTACAACGATTGCTCTTCGAAGACTTGATACTGACGCTCGCACTCGCACCATTGTGCCTGATTCCCATGTCAACAGCCAGGAAAGGTCGCCGTCGTCCTCACCGGCCGTCACGCCGGTAAGAAGGTTAGTACATCTACACTCCCAGCAATTGGGACACCGACAGCAGCGTTCGAGCATATTCTAGGGGCATCAGTACACCACACAGCAGAAAGCAGCAGGAGCAAGGAGCATTCGTTACTGTGGAGCGGACCGGGCAGTGTTGTATTGCCGTTACTGGTCGACTTGGTGGCATTACAACTCGCATGCATGGTGCATTCAGATCTTGCACATCCAGCAGGCATGCCGACCACACCAGCGACGACAGCGCTTGCACAGCGCCTGCACAGCGCCTTCACAATTCCCGACACGAGAACACTCCCGTCAGGACTCGCAGTGGCAGTTGTCGTCTCGTCCGCATCGTGCGAAAAGAAGACCACTCGACTCGGTCGTAAGCCCGTTGCGAACATCAGCACTCTTCCACAGAATTACGTTCTCATGTTCGGCAAAGCGTCTGCGACCCTCCCAGAGCAGC